GGGTAAGTGTTTTACGGCGCTCGCAACTGCATACAGTCATATGAGCGCACGGGACACTTGAAGCATTTTCTGATTTGTATAAATTTTGAATTTTGCCTGGGTGGTGTCCGAAGCCTACTCTTATCGATTTTGGATCACCAAGGAATCTTTAACGTGCGCAACTTTCACACGGTACCCCCTGGATTTTTCACCCTTGTCCGAGAAGTCTAGATGTAGATCTATCCTACCTGAAGATCAGGGGTGTGGCTGAAAGACAGCAGTAACAAGAAGACAAGGAGAAGCAGTATAACGGATGCAGAAAGAGTCAGGAACCCAGAGGAGGGGGCAGAGGAGATGAAGGGTTTGGGGCAAAAAGCGGAGACGAAAGCAGACGACAGAACATTGTTAGGGACCAGGAAAGGATGAGAAAGGAGAAAATGTTAGAGAAGAAAAATTTCCGTCACTATCGGGATTCAAACCCGGGACCTATTGAATAAGAGGCGAACACCCTAACCTCTAGGCCACGAGAGTCCCGATAGAAAATGTGAGGAATCGTGGTTGAATCAGGCGCTCGTCAAGATATGGATAACAAAGAAAATGCCATTTTTTCACCCGTTAGGCAACTTCTATCATTTTTTTTTCGTTGGCTCAGCACCTTCCTCTCTCAATTCAAAAACACATTTCAGTATCGATTTTTACTGCAAAACATCAATCAAAGGCACAAGTAATTGTAAACATTCAGTTTTCAATGACACAAAAGAGTCTACATAACAAGAGGGTCCACTCCTCTCTTTGTGCCAATCAAAAAATTGTCCTCAAAATTCGGTGGCGCCCTCTTCGCAAATGCGTACCCTTTGCGAACAGAGTTACCTTACTTATGTTTAAAAAATTGAAGTGAAACTAACAAATCTTTGAATAAATACGAATTCAAATTTCGGAAGAACGCTTTTTTTTAAAAATGGTTACGCTGACAAAAAACCTCTTCCGGAGCGACTGATTTCTTAGTTTAATTTGACTTTAGAATGAGACGGGAGAGGTCATTAATGCAGCGCCATCTGAAGCAAAGAGCGGACTTCCGGCAGACACTTTTTATGCTGAGTGGACCATCTTGTTATGTACGATCTTCGATGACACTCAAGCTTTTGTCTTCACCAAACTTTGACGGCCATTTACTCGCTAATTTTACCTCCGGCACCGAGTGAGTGACCTCCACCTTCTTCAATCGACCATATCTCTACTTCTCAAGACAATGGATTTTTTTTTTTCATCAAAAGCACGACACATGAACAAGTTTTAAGATGAAAATAATAACTCCATCTGCTCAAAATTGACGAGCGCCTGATCCCACCGTGTCATGACTTAAATGTTACACGTCCCCCTTGAAACAGGTAGACCACGGGTTTCAAACTCAAATTTCCCCCTCTCAGGTGATGGAATAAAGTCTGGGTAAGCTTGGACCGCATCAAGTAATCCACAAATGAAAATCATCATTGTAGACCGCAAAAAGACAAAAAATGGTGGAGACTATGAAGAATTTCAAAAGTTATCATCATCATCAGCTTACTGAGCAATCGAGGGAACGTCATATCCGTTGTCAAGGGACTCCTTCCCGGCAGGCACAGCGGCGGTGAGAAGCAGACGAGGTTTCCCACTACTGAGAGCTTCCGCTTCAAAACCTTTTCGCAAGTCCTGAAGAGAACAAAACCAGATGTGGTAATTATTCTAATGTGAATCTTTAAAACTGTGGGGAGGGGAGCGGAAGGGAGGGGGGGGGGTAGGGGGTAGAATGTGGAAACAAGAGCTGAAAGGAAAACTAGCAATGAATTAAAAATTAGATAATCATATTCTACCAAATAGATCAAATCATTGCTATCCAGATAGAACATTTGGTTTTTAACCTCACGGGTAAAAAGGGTAAAAAATGTAAGATAAAACTTTATAATTCTAAGACGCTTTGGTGGGTGTTTTACGGCGCTCGCAACTGCTTTAGATCATACGAGCGACAAGGGGTGGATGTCAACTCTGCTCACCTCTCTAGCTTCGACAGTGCAAAATCTTCTTCGACTAGCAAGGCACCCCGGAAATAGCAGTTCACAAGAGAGTGACAAACATACAAAAGAAGTTGAGGAAAGGGTATGATAGTAAGAAAAAGCAGCAGTTCCCTGTTGCAGTTCAGGCACAGTTATGAGCATGACATTGATGAATCAGCCCATTCACAGTTCTACTGTGCGTATAAGAACATGTTAATGCCCCCCCCCCCTTTTAGAATGGCCTAAAG